AACTTCCCAGTTCTCTCCAGCAGTGTGGGACTTTCCATGCGCCAGCAAGTCAGCAGTTGGATTCCTGGTCAGAGCACATGCTAACCCTTACCCATTAGACACGGTCCCGGGGACTCGATGCAGATAACAGCCTATGCCACACCAACACGCCAGTTCTGGGCTAGGGGCCTTAACCTGACGTAGCGGGGCGGGACTTCCGTCGAGAGGCGGGAGCGGAACCGGAGGTGCAGCGTGCAGATTAGTGGCCGCCCTAGCGCTACGCTGGAGCCCGGGCGGAGAGGCCGGACGCAGGTTCTCGGCCGCCCCTCGAAGCTCTCGCGACGCCAGCCTCGGTGCCCGAATGGCTCGGGGCGAGCGGCGGCGCCGCGGCGCGCCCGTGGATGGAGCGCGGGCGGCCGAGGGGGCGGCCCGGGGCGGCCCCGCGCGGCGGGAAAGCCGGGGCGGCGTGGCCCGCGGCACGGTCGCGGCGGCGGTCTTGGTCATCGTGGTCCTGCCGCTGGCCCTGACCCTGTCGGGGAGCTGGCTGCTGGCCTGGCACCGCGCGCGGCGGGCGGTCACGCTGCACTCCGCGCCCCCGGCGCTGCCTCCCAACTCCTCCAGCCCCGCCATGGCCCCCGACCTCTTCTGGGGCACCTACCGCCCCCACGTCTACTTCGGCATGAAGACCCGCAGCGCGCAGCCCCTCCTCACCGGTAACCGGGCCCCGGCGGGCAGGCAGCTTTCCTAGAGCGAGGGTGGGGAGGAGCGGGTCAGGAGAGTTAGGAGGAGGGATGGCCCTGAGCTTCTCGCAGACACAGAGGGGCAGGGTTGCCGCTCTCTGACTTACGTGGCCGTTCTACCCCCAGGACTGATGTGGGCACAGCATGGCACCGCCCCTAAGCTCAGGCACACGTGTGAGCAGGGGGACGGCGTGGGCCCCTATGGCTGGGAGTTCCACGACGGCCTCTCCTTCGGGCGGCAGCACATCCTGGATGGGGCTTTAAGGCTCACCACTGAATTCGTCAAGAGACCCGGGGGTCAGCACGGAGGGGACTGGAGCTGGAGAGTGACTGTAGAGTCTCAGGTCAGGGCCTCAGGACACCCCTCCCCTAGCCCAGACGCCCTCCGTTCTTCCTTTGCTGCCAGCAAGTGCAGTGTGAAGTGGGGGGTAACAGCTGGAGCTGCAGTCTGGCCATCTGGTTTGAATCTGGTTGCCTGCCCGAAAACACTTGCCTATGAGACCACCTGCATTTACAATTCCTACGTCTTGGTTTCCTTTCTGTAAAGTGGGGATGAAAATAGCACCTAACACAGGATTGTAAGAATTAAAGGAAATAATATGTAGAGTTCTTAGCATAATACACAGCACAGAAATACTCATTATTTCCCAGAGAACTCTGTGCAGGGATCTTTAACTCATCCCACTGGGTGTTTACCCACAGTGACCCTCAACACCGCCAGATAACTCAAACCTCATTTCTCCAACAGCTTCCATCTGGAACAATTCGGTTCTCAACCAGTTTGTTCACAGAAAAAAAAATGTCTTGGTTGTCAGTGTCTTTGGTTTTGGACCTGACAACCCTTTCATGCTGATACCTCAGCCTGACAAAAAGCGTCTCTCGGGCAACAGAGAGAATGCTTTTGTTGTTGGCGAAATTCATGATTAGCACAATTTTAAAACATAGAGACCATGCCGAAACCGGTTTGGCTCAGTGGTAGAGCGTCGGTCTGTGGACTGAAGGGACCCGGGTTCGATTCCGGTGAGGGGCATGTACGCTGGTTGCAGGCACATCCCCAGTAGGGGGTGTGCAAGAGGCGGCTGGTCGATGTTTCTCTCTCATCGACGTTTCTAGCTCTCTGTCTCTCTCCCTTCCTCTCTGTAAAAATCAATAATATATATATATTTAAATTAAAACAACAACATAGAGACCATCAAGAGTGCTAATGTTGCTAAGGGTGTGAAAGAAACAATAATTATATGCGGTTGAAGAGGTAGGAAACCTGCTGATTTAGATAAAGGAAAAGCAGTTAGCCAGTGACAGCCATTTGCGGAGATGGTGATGTATGAAGGTGCTGCATGCTGACCTGAAAGACATCCCTGGACCGAATGCTAAAAGTGATTCATTTAAGGCTGGTAGGGGTAAAATTAAGAAAAGAAGTGTTTGTTTATATATTAAACAGTACATTAGACATGTACTATATATAAAAGGAAGGTTAAAACGGGATCATTTGGGAGTCTAGAATGGATTAATTCAATTTACATGACTTCTAGTGGGTAAAATGATTTGGTTTTCCAACAAATCGCTTTTCGAACAGCCTTCCAGACCGAATTAAATTCGAGAACCAACATTCCACTGTATTTGTTGTTTCATTTTGCTCTGTCCTGGTGCCCCTTTCCCTCACTAAGTGTGATTCTCAAGAGCGAATATAAATCTAATGCAATGTTTTTTCTGTCCTCCTTGTTCATCTAGGCCTCGGGTACCTCTGCCCTCCCTTTGGTGTCCCTGTTCTTCTACGTGGTGACAGATGGCAAGGAAGTCCTAGTGCCAGAGGGTGGGGCTGAGGGGCAGTTGAAGTTCATCAGTGGTCACTCCAGTGAACTTGGTGACTTCCGTTTTACACTTCTGGCACCAACCAGTCCAGGGGGTACTACTCCCAAGTATGGCAGGTAACTGGGGTGGGGGAGAGTGTGAGGTGGTGGTAGGGGTGGTACGGATGCTGATTTAGCTTGGCTCCCATCTCCTCTACTCTACCCTCTTTCCACGTTATTTCCCTTCACACCAGCCTCCATGCCCTCTACATTGTCAAGACCTTTCCATCCTAACTCACGATCACCTATTTCTCTTTATAACCCTTCTACTTCCTACCCTCCTGAATAATATTTCCTATTTGTCTTCTTCCCTTCAAGCTACAATGTCTTCTGGTCCTCCAACCCAGGACTTCCCTTGCTGACAGACATGGTGAAGAGTCGCCTAAATAGCTGGTTTCAGCATCGGCCCCCAGGGGCTTCTCCTGAACGCTACCTTGGCTTGCCAAGATCTCTGAAGTGGGAGGACAGAGACCCAAGCGGGCAAGGAGAGGCCCAAGGGCAGTTCTTGATACAACAGGTGACAGTGAAAGCCCCCTTTTCTGTGGAGTTCGTGTTTGAATCTGGCAGTGCCCAGGCGGGAGGAGACCAAGCCCGGGGGCAGCTGGCAGGCAGCCTGCTGACGCAGGCCCTGGAGAGCCATGCGGAAGCCTTCAGAGAGCGCTTTGAGAAGACCTTCCAGCTGCAGAAGAAGGGTCTGGGCCCACAGGAGCAAGCTCTGGGTCAGGCTGCCCTCAGCGGTCTCCTTGGTGGGATCGGCTACTTCTACGGACAGGGGCTTGTGCTGCCAGACATGAAGGCGGAGGAGTCTGAGCAGAAGGTGGCCCCGGCCCTCTTCCCACCGGTCCCTCTCTTCACAGCAGTGCCCTCCCGGTCGTTCTTCCCACGGGGCTTTCTTTGGGATGAGGGCTTTCACCAGCTCCTGGTCCAGCGATGGGATCCCCGCCTCAGCCGGGAGGCCCTAGGCCACTGGCTGGGGCTACTCAATGCCGATGGCTGGATTGGGCGGGAGCAGGTACTGGGGGATGAGGCCCGAGTCCGGGTACCCCCAGAATTCCTGGTGCAACGGGCAGCCCATGCCAACCCCCCAACCCTGCTTCTGCCTGTAGCCCACATGCTGGAGGGTCACGATCCTGCCGACTTAGCCTTCCTCCGCAGGGCCTTCCCCCGCCTGCATGCCTGGTTCTCCTGGCTTCATCAGAGCCAGGCAGGGCCAGTGCCCCTGTCTTACCGCTGGCGGGGTCGGGACTCGGCCTTGCCAACCCTGCTGAATCCCAAGACCCTGCCTTCAGGGCTGGATGATTACCCCCGTGCTTCGCACCCTTCAGCCACCGAACGGCACCTGGACCTGCGGTGCTGGGTGGCACTGGGTGCCCGTGTGCTGGTGCAGCTAGCAGAGCAGCTGGGCGAGGCTGAGGCGGTTGCAGAGCTGGGCCCGCTGGCTGCCTCGCTGGGGGCAGAGAAGAGCCTGGATGAGCTACACTGGGCCCCAGAGCTAGGAGTCTTTGCAGACTTTGGGAACCACACAAAAGCAGTGCAGCTGAAGCCTCGACCCCCTCACGGGCTGGTTCGGGTGGTGGGCCGGCCCCACCCTCGCTTGCAGTATGTGGATGCCTTGGGCTATGTCAGTCTCTTCCCCTTGTTGCTGCGGCTGCTGGACCCCCACTCTCCCCGCCTTGGGCCACTGCTGGATGTTCTAGCCGACCGTCGCCATCTCTGGAGCCCCTTCGGTTTACGCTCCCTTGCAGCCTCCAGCCCCTTTTACGGCCAGCGCAATTCAGAGCATGATCCTCCCTACTGGCGGGGAGCTGTGTGGCTCAATGTCAACTACCTGGCCTTAGGGGCACTCCACCACTACGGGCACCTCAAGGGTCCTCACCAAGCCCGTGCTGCCAAGCTCCACAGTGAGCTCCGTGCCAATGTGGTGGGCAATGTGCTGAGGCAGTACCAGGCCACAGGCTTCCTGTGGGAGCAGTACAGCGACCGGGACGGACGGGGCATGGGCTGCCGCCCCTTCCAGGGTTGGACCAGCCTTGTCCTACTGGCCATGGCTGAAGACTACTGAAGGGAGAGTGTGGGAGGCGAGTGAGGTCCCTGTAACACTCCGGACTACAGGGTCCAGGTCTCCAAATTCTGCCCCAACCCTCAGATACCAGTGCTTTGAATCCTCATGTTAGGTGTCTCATTATCATCCCACACAACCCTGGGGTGAATGTGAATTCAGAGCCTTATTTTTCTAAATAAATTGGAAAACCATGCCAAATTACTGTTTTTGCCAGCTTTGCCTCACCAAGAGGTCTTGGCTCAGTCCAGGCCTGTGGGCTGCCTCCTATCCTCCAGAGAATCTGGGGAAGGTGGCCATTGCCCGTCCCCTCCAAGTCCATCCAGGTAGTGAAGTGAGATGAGCACTAGACCACCCAAGTCCACAAGCAGCTGGTTCATATCTCTTTAATGAGATCAAAGGCTCCTGTGTATGTCACCGGGGGTAGAGCTAGCACAGTCCCCCAAACATGGCCCCTGTCCTCGGGACTCCAGCCCTTTCAGGCAGATTCTAGGAAGGCAGGGAGAGGCCGAGGAGAACTCAAGGAGCTGGAACCAGGGCTGTTTCTAGTGGGCACCCACCCTCCTAAAACTGCTCATGGGATGCCCCCTTCACTGGTAGCCGGCCCCATGGAAGGAACTTGGGGTATGGGTTCTAGGGACAGTGTGCAGGGGGAGCAGTCCCCCAGGTCTGGCTGGATAGCACTAGCCTTAGCTTCCTTGACTGGCTCACGCTCGCTGGAGTCAGGGCAAGGGCAGAGCTCGATGCCCGAGTCACCAGTCAGGCGGCGATAGCGGCAGGAGGGGGGTGTGGGGGCAGGGCTCACCCCTGCCCCAGGCTCACCCGCCTGATGAGGGGGGGCACTCTGGTGGGAGGAAACACCTTCCACATTTGTTCCCTCGGAGTGGACAGGGCAGCTAGAAGTGGAGGAGCAGCAGGTACATTCCCTGGAAGCAGTCAAGGGGCAGCCTGGGACCGCAGTGTAAGGAGGTGGTGGTGTGCCCGGGCGGTGAACCACATCCTCATAGGCGGGGGGTTTGAAGGCGCTGAGGAGGCCTGCAGGAGAGAATGGCATGGTTGGTTGAAGACAACCAGGGGTGAGGTGGTGGTCTCTTTACTGTTAGGGAAAAGTGTGCTTTGGAATGTCTGAAAACAAAATGTGGGGAGGAGCCACCGGTAGTGAGCCCAGAGCCTCGAGTCACTCACGAAGGTCAAGCAGTGAACTGGCAGGAACAGGGCCAGCCCCGTGGCATGCCCCGTGGTAGGCCAACAAGTTGATCTCACGCTGCCGCTGCTGTTGCTGTAGCCGGAGTTTAGCTCGTCGGTGACGGAAGGCGCAACAGCAGCTAAAGAGGATGAGGACAGTCCAGAGCAGCCAGAACCCTGCAGGGGGGTGGAAGGAAGAGTCTCAGATTCCTCCCGTGCAAAGAAGGGTCCCTGAAGGCTAGAATTCCGAGGTCCAAGGGAGGGTGGGCAGAAGGACCCGAGAACGGCCCCCACAGAGACTCACACCAGAGCTCATAGTAGTAGGTGCAGCAGCCAGTCTCCCCGCAGCAGTGACCACTCTCACAGAGGTAGGGCTGGTTGTTCACTCCTGGGCAAACCTCTCGAAGCTGGGAGCAAGGAGGCACTTAGCACCAAGGGAGAATCCAGCCCAAGGCACTGTTCACCCCCACATCCAGCCCCTGCATGCACACCACACGCCCACCCTGTGAACCAGTGTAGCTCAGGTCTATGAGGAGGCAAAGGAGGGATGCTGAGAGGAGTGTTCAAATGTCTGAAGGGCTGTCAGCATGGAAGAGGATTTGGAATAGCAAAAATCAGCCTGGAGAACAGGACGAAGATGTGAACAGAGGCAGATTTCAGCTCTGCATATTGACTGGCCCCAGGGCATTTTCTGTTAACGGGGTTTGGCAGAAGCCAGAAGATAAAGCAATCTCAAAATCTCAGACAATGGGTAATGGGTTTAAAGTCATTTCCAAAGCTAAGATGCTTTCATTGTCCCTCATGGCCTGCCATTCCCCATCCCCAAGGTGGACCTTTCCACCCCTGAGTCTCAGACTTCCTAGGATAAAGGCGGGGCAGTGTGAGACCCAGAGCAGTGCTCCCAACCAGATGGGATTGCTGTGGATGATAAAGGATGGCAGGGCGCGCGAGTCTGGGTTCCAGCTCTTCTCCAAATTGCTCCCTCAAGAGAAGACGCTATTGGCCTCTGTTGTGACAATAGGCACACAGAAACGCATCACAAATAACTGTTGCAAGACAGGAAGCCTCCCAGGGCCTCACTATGCCTCTGGTCCCTGGAGAGTCACTGCAAGCTCCCACTGCATCCATGGGATGGTGTATAAGACCGCAGGCAAAGTCAACTGCATCTACGTTACAAAGTTTAAACAAAGAATGCAAGGGACATTTAGGAACTTCACAATACCTTTGGCTCCGTGAGTCCCTACCCAACCCCCAAAAAGACAGGGACAGAAAAGGGGAAAGGGAAGTAGATGGCTATAGGGATATGCTTTTGGAGCAGATGGGATACCTGCTGTTGCGGCACTCGAAGTGCCCCCCAGGCCTCCTCGCTGCCGTTCCCGCTGCTGGCCCGAGCCATGCCTCCACCTACAGCCCCCTGGAGACCACAGCCTCCTCTACTGCCAGCCACCCCGCCCCTGCCGCCTCTGCCGCCACCGCCATGGTCCCTGCCCGGCCCATCTCCGCTGCCGCCACCATCACTCCGCGGCCGGCCGGAGCTCCCATCCGGGGAGAGCTCTGCCAACTAGGAGCCAGGTTGCTCCGTCCCGCCAATCAGCATCGCCCTCCGGCGAACGGGCCAATAGGACGGGATCGGAGGCTTTTGTTGGGGACCAATCCGCAGCGGCGCCCCGGCCGCGCTCCCAGACAACAAGCGCTCTCCCAGACAAAGAGTGCAGTGAGGCTCCGCCCACCGCCCTGACTGACAGCGACAGTAGCCAACGTGGACAACACCACGGGCTTCGAGCTGTCAACCAATGAGCGGCCGCCCAGAAGAGCAAACTCCCCTCTGATTGGCTGGAATCCCGTCCCTTGGAAGGACGCCAAAGGCCGGATCACGCCAGGTGATCCCGCCAGAAGAGATGGGAGTCCCCCAAGTCGGCCGGAGCCCAGCGCGCCAGCCCGGGCTCGGTGGACGTTTCCGAGGCGTCAGCGCAAGCTCCGATGGGGGCAACATGTGTGGACAGGGAATCGGCTTCCCATGCCCCATACACTCAATTCTGTAAATTCGGTACCAGTCGAGGCACGGGATACAATTTAATAAGGAAGACACTGGATCCGGGCAGGGGAGAGGGTTCAGAGTCCTGGGAAAGGGCCTTACGTAGCCAGAAGGGGGGACCCGGGCCCTTCGGGTCTCCCCAGCCGCAGCTGCAAGTTGATGCGGTAGCACTGGAGGCTGCAGAGGGCCTGGCCTGTGCGGGAGCAGGCGTAGCGGCGCGGGTGCGGACAGCCAGGGACCGAGCACCGCGGAGGAGGGCCGGGCGGAGGCGGCCGCTGAGACACCGGTGCGGGTGTGGGGACGCCGGGCGGGAAGGAAAGGGTGGAACCCTGGGCCCCGCTGCTGTAGCGCACCATGGGGGCCGGGGCCGCGGCCCGCCCTCCCCGCCGCTCCCCCCTCGCGGCCCCGCGGCCCCCGCGCCCGCTGGGCGCTGCCGTCTTCGTGAGGCGCTCGATGGTCTGGTTCTTGTGCTCCTCCGCCCGCCGCGCCGCCTGCAGCCGCCTCTTACGAGCCCGCTCCTCGCGCTTCAGCAGCATCTCCTCGGTGAGGGCGGGGGCCGGGCAGCCCGCAGCCACAGGCAGCGGCAGCAGCGGGGAAGGCTGGCTCTGCGCCTTCTGGAGCAGAGCTCGCTGGGGAGAGACAGAGGTGGTGTCAGAGAATGGAGAAGCGAGGTCTGCAGGAAGGGTCCAGAGGGCACCCTGGTCTCCAGACTTTCAGCTTTAGATCCTGACTCTCAAGAGGAAAAGTGTTAGAAATATTACCTGCTTGCCTTGTGTACCAAATTCTCTGCATCATATTTCTGAGGATTTTTAAAAAAATTGATTTTCCACAGAGAGGAAGGGAGAGGGATAGAGAGCTAGAAATGTCGATGGGAGAGAAACATCAACCAGCTGCCTTCCGCACACCCCCTACCGGGGACGTGCCTGCAACCAATGTACATGCCCTTGACTGAAGTTGAACCTGGGACCTTTCAGTCCGCAGGCCCACGCTCTATCCACTAAGCCAAACCGGTTTCGGCTCTGAGGATTTTTTATTTATTATTTTAAATCTTTATCTCATTGAAGCATTAATTAGATAAGTGCTCAATGCCTGAAAAGCTCCTCTGGTACTGGAAATGTTAGCTCTTCAAAGAGGTCTTCCCTCCCTATCTAGTGTCTCTTTCCTACCGCTTTCTGTTTCATCACTATACATATATATAAACTTAACTGCTTTTCAAAATTATTTCCTTCTTTACCTACCCACCCCAACACACACATGAATACCAGCTCCTTGAGAAAAGTATCTTTTCTCTAATGCCCAATGCCTAGCAAAGTTCTTAGGACATGGAAGGTTATCTCTAAATATCTGGTAACTGAATAAAGAATGAACCAATTTACCTGTCGAGCAGTGAGCAGCCGTTCGTTGATCTCCTTCTTGAGATCTCCATTGTCATCTAGCTCCCCCTTCTCCAGGGCATCCAGCCACCTCTGTTCCTCCTCTTCCTCCTGACCCCCTAAGTCCCCCGACAGATCTCGAAGTGGGGAGGGGGACAAATTACTATCTTCATCTGGAAAGAGAAAAGTAGAATTGTTCAGGTGGGGCACCCAAATTTGGCCAAGTTAATACTGGCACACTCAAAATTCTCTCCCTCCTCAGAAGTAACCTTCTCCCTTTAATCAGGAATCATGAGAAACCCTGTTTCCCCACCTCCAGATCCTTCTCACCCAGCCAGGCACGGTACTGCTCAAGGGGGACGCCTTCCATTGGTTCCTCTTCATTGTCCACGACCATAAGGGGAGAGGGGGACCGAGGGCCCTCGGGGATCACAGTGAAGGTAGGAACACTGCAGAGAAGCAACACCACTCTAAGCCGAGCAAGTATCTTCTTTCTGCTCAGTAGCTACCTCCAGCTTCCCTCACACCCTCTAGATCCTTCCTGGGCCCTGAAGTCACCGTGTCCATTCTATCTTCTGGCAAGCCCAGCCAGCGTCTCTTTCCTTTGCCTCCTCCTGAAGTTCCCCAAGTAAAACCTTGGTTCTCTTGGCCTCACCTCTTGGTGCCCAGGACCTGCCCACCCAGCTTGATCTTGAGTTTGAGCTGGGGCTTTGCAGGAGACGGCTGCGTGGGCCCAGCTTCCTCTTCCTGATGGTGTTTCTTCTTGTGTTTCTTTTTGTGCTTCTTGTGCTTCTTCTTGTGCACTCCGTGGCCGTGGGCACCCGCCAGGCTCAACTCCAGCGCTTCCCCTGCGGGAGGAGAGCCGGTCAGCGGTGTGAGGCGGGAGTGGGGCAGCGAGAGCCCCGAAGAAGCACCCAATTTCCCTAGGGGCTCCCACTCTTCCCGCGGTACCCGCCGTTACCATAGCAACAGCCCCGCCTCTCTCCTCCCACCTGTGGCGAGGTACCTTGAAGGCCCCGAGAAGCGAGAAAGGAACTCCTTTCCTGCAAAGGCCTAAGTGGCTTTATGGACCCGCGCTTACCTGGCTCAGGGGCCTCCATAGCCCCGGAGGTGCTCCCGCGCCGCCACAGCTTACTCATGGGTTCCTGCTAGGAAAGGGGGCTGGAAATGATCAGGGAACGGGCAGACATGCCACTTCCGCCCCGCGGAAGAACTCATTCCAGCAAAACAACAGGAACTTCCGGCGCGTAGCAAACACGTTTGTGCGGGGCACATACTGAAGCTCAAAGCGTCCCTGGGAAACAACGATTCTCCCCAACCAAAGTTCCGGGCCCTCCGTCTGGGACAATTCAAAAGGCGCGGCTTTCCTTTCGCTCTGTCTCTCCATCAAATCCGGAGTGGGCGATTTGATTATTTCATTCCGGCGTCGTGGACGTACACTCCCGGCCACATTCGGGGCTGAGCAGTGAGGACACTGGGATGAATGCGAACCCTCTCCTCTGGCTTCGAGGAGCGAGGGGAGGGGTACACAAGCCAGATTGCTGGCAAGACAGCCGAAGTGTTTAACAGCACAAGTGTCCTACGAGCAGGGCGAATAGCATTTAAGCCTAAATTCTCATCAGTAGAGAAATGGATAAATGAATTATGGTGCATCTGTGCAATGTGGAGCTACCGTGTTCCTAAAAAAAAAAAAAAATTAAGAGTGATAAGTAATTGATAAGACTGATATGGAATGCAGATTCTAGTAGGTAATAGCATTAGGAACAATCTAAATGTTCTCCAATGAAACACCAAAATGAGTTGGTCTACGGGTTTAGAGCATCCATACAATGGGAGCCTATGTTGCTATTAAAAGAAATGAGGCCCCAGAAGGCTACCCAAGAAACGGATGGGTGGCTGAAGGGAGGCTTGGTTTTTTGTTTTGTTTTTCATAAAATACCCTTTTGTGCCTATTGAATTGTGTGTAAAAATGTGTGTGTTTAAACTAATTTTAAATATATATTTTATTGATTTTATACAGAGAGGAAGGGAGAGAGAGAGTGAGAAACATCGATGAGAGAGAGTCATCGATCAGCTGCCTCTTGCACATCCCCTACCAGGGATATGCCTGCAACCAAGGTACATGCCCTTGACCGGAATCGAACCCGGGACCCGTCAGTCCCCAAGCCGACGCTCTATCCATTGAGCCAAACCGGTCCCGGCTAAACTAATTTTAAAGCACACAGTAGCTCTGTGTGTGTTGATATAGGAAATAAGCAAGTTTCAAGATGATGTGATTCCATTTAAAAGACATTATAACTCTGGCTAGTGTGGTTTAGTTGGTTGGGACTCATCCGGTGTAATATTAGAAGGTGGTGGGTTAGTTTTCTGATCAGATTCCGAGATCAGGAAGCAGCCAATTCACATCAATGTCTCTCTCTCTCTCTCTCTCTCTCTCTCTCTCTCTCTCTCTCTCTCTCTCTCTCTCTCTTTCTCTCTCTCTCTCTCTCTCTCTCTCTCTCTCTCTCTCTCTCTCCTCCCATTCCCCTCCCTCACCCCTCTCTCGTCCTCTCTAAAAATCAATTAAAATTTTTTTTTAGCCCTGGCTGCTTTGGCTCGGTGGATAGAGCATTAGCCTTTGGACTGAAGGGTCCCAGGTTCGATTCCAGTCAAGGGCACATGCCCAGGTCGTGGGCCTGATCCTTGGTAGGGGGCATGCAGGAGGCAGCCAATTGATGATTCTCATCATTGATGTTTCTTTCTCTTCTTCTCCTTCCTTTATGAAAAAATAAAAAATAATAAAGACTAATATATACATAGAAAAAAAATCAAGGAGTGTATGCTATACAGTGAATGGTGCTTATCTTTAGAAGTGGGATTAGAGAACTTTCACTAGCCAGATCTGTAACGAATTTTCTTACAGCCAGTGTATATCATAATTAAATTACAAAAAATTACCATCTATATACATATATTTAAATATGTCTGAGATGTGCCGAAACCGGTTTGGCTCAGTGGTGGAGCATCGGTCTGCGGACTGAAAAGTCCCAGGTTCGATTCCGGTCAAGGGCATGTGCCTTAGTTGTGGGCACATCCCTGGTGGGGAGTGTGCAAGAGGCAGCTGGTCGATGATTCTCTCTCATCGACGTTTCTAGCTCTCTATCCCTCTCTCCTCCTCTCTGTAAAAAATCAATAAAACATATTAAAAAAATAAAATATAAAAAAATAAATATGTCTGAGGTGTGTATCTTAACAAGGTAGCAGCAGTGAACAAAGAAAGAACTGATTCAAGAGATATTTCCTTGATAAAAATGAAAAGGAATCAATGAGCAATTATATATGGGAATTCAGTCAGGACGAAGTTAATGTGATAGAGTGATTGATTTTTAAAAATATATATTTTATTGATTTTTCACAGAGAGGAAGAGAGAGGGATAGAGAGTTAGAAACATCAACGAGAGAGAATCATCGACCAACTGCCTGTTGCACACCCCCTACTGGGGATGTGCCCACAAGCAAGGGACATGCCCTTGACCGAAATCGAACTCGAGACCTTTCAGTCCACAGGCTGACACTCTATCCACTGAGCCAAACTGGTGCCGGCAAGTGATTGATATTTTTAAATGTCTTTTTATTGATTTTTAGAGAGAGGGGAAGGGAGAGGGAAAGAGAGAGAAACATTGATGTGCTGCTTCCTATATATCCCCTGTGGGGGATCAAGGCTGAAACCCCTTTATGTGTCCTGCTGGGAATAGAACCAGTGCTCATCTATGCTGAACCACTGAGCCACACCAGCTGGGCTATAGTGATTAATATTAAGAGTAAGACAAGCCTAGTACAAATTCTATCACTTGTTACTTATGTAACCTTGGACTCAAAGTTATTTAAGCTTTCTGAACCTCAGATTCCAGATTTGTAAGATGGAATAAAGTAGGATCTACTTCATAGGGCTTTTTCAAGGAGTAAAGCAAATCAAGAAAGCAAAGTACCTAGGGTCATAACTGGCATATAGATGTTCAATAAACAAACAACAACAACAACAATAGTAGTAGTAAACAACTACATTTCTAGCCCAAATATGTTAAGGGAACAAAGTGTTTTAAATAAAGATAATATGCTGAAACTGGTTTGGCTCAGTGGATAGAGCGTCGGCCTGCAGACTGAAGGGTCCCAGGTTCAATTCCAGTCAAGGGCATGTGCCTTGGTTGTGGGCACATCCCCAGTAGGGGGTGTGCAGGAGGCAGCTTGTCAATGTTTCTCTCTCATTGGTGTTTCTAACTCTCTATCCCTCTCTCTTCCTCTCTGTAAAAAAAAATCAATAAAATGTATTTTAAAATAAATAAATAAAGATAATTTAGGGATAGAAGCAAGAAAGAAGGGAAACATTTAGTGTTGCCTAAGGTAAATCTTTAATGAAGTTATTTATTTGTATTTTATTTTATTTTTTAAAAATATATTTTATTGATTTCTTACAGAGAGGAAGGGAGAGAGATAGAGAGCTAGAAACGTCGATGAGAGAGAAACATCGACCAGCTGCCTCCTGCACACCCCCCACCGGGGATGTGCCCGCAACCAACGTTCATGCCCTTGGCCGGAATCGAACCTGGGACCTTTCAGTCCGCAGGCTGACGCTCTACCGCTGAGCCAAACCGGTTTCGGCTATTTATTTGTTTTATATTTTTATTGATTTCAGGAGGAAGGGAGCGGGAGAGAGAGTTAGAAACCAGCTGCCTCCTGCACGCCCCCTACTGGGGATAGAGCCACAGCCGGGCATGTGTCCTTGACCAGAATGGAACCTGGGACGCTTTGGTCTGCAGGCCAACGCTTTACCCAGTAAGCCAAACCGGCTAGGGCCCCTAAGGTACATTTGAAGTGCCTGTGGGGATGCCCAAATACGATGGACCCCTGAGAGAAGAGGCCAGTGCAGAAGGTTGAGTGGTGGATGTCATCAGCATCATAATGACGTCCCTAAAAGTCTGGGGACATAGGAGACATTCCAAAATGAGCAGGTAGATGGAGAGAAAAGGACTGGGGACAGACCTGAGTGGGCACCTGTCCTGGATGGGCAGGCAGAAGCAGCAGGCTATATTGAGATGAGGAGGTCAAGAGAGGCAAGAAAGGCACTCAAGGGCAAAGGGTATCGCCAGGGAAAGGCTATGAGCAGCCGCATACAGTTCTGCAAAGGGCAGGCTGAACTTTAAGAACAGGATACATTCCAGCAGGAGGTGAGGACAATAGTCCTGTATCACGAGAAGTTAAAATGAGGGGTCACCTGTAGTTAGAATTGGAGTTGATAACCTGCTCTTCAGTGTGTCCCCTCTCCCCCGTCACCCCCAGGGCCTCTCCCTAAGGACGACGCTATTGTTCCCTCAGGAGGAAACTGAGGCTCAGAGAAGCGGAATGATTTGGCCAGAGTCACGTAGTTCAGGAGTGGCAGTGCCAGCCTCAAACAGAGGCTTCCTGACACTGGGTCCAGCGGTGTTTCCTCAACATCCTGACGTCCTGCAGGGAGGAAATGGCGGCAGCTGGCAGCCACCGGCTTCGTGGCTTTGTTTTTAGTCTTGCTTTGTTTAGATCGAGTGATAGAGGTTTGAGCATGTTGTAGGTTGAAAGGAGAAACTTCCTCTGAAAGAACTCTTGGGCTTATTTTTAAAATAGAATTTATTTTGAAATAATCTCAAACTTACAGAAAAGTTTCAAGAAGAGCACAGAGAACTTTGTCTCCTTATGCAGTTTATTCCGTTGTTAACATTTACCACTTTCTCCCTTACCCCACTATCATCCCTTTTCTAATTAACCTGAGAACAAATTGTAGACAAATATTTCAACCTTAAATATTTCAGTGTTTTTCTCAAAACAAGTTCACTGTTCTATAACCTTCATGCCACCCTTCCAGTCAGGAAATTAACGTTGATAGGGCACTGCTGTCTAATCCACAGAGCCCACTCAGATTTCACCCACTGCCCAATGTCACCTTTTCCTTTCTAACCCAGAATCCAAATTCAGGGTCATGCATTCCTTTTACTTATCATGTCTCTGATTTTCTCCCTCATGTTTTTATTTATTTTATTTTATAAAAATGCGTTTTTATTGTGTTCAGAGAGAAAGGGAGAGATAGAAACTTTTTTTTTTTTTAATTTCAGAGAGGAAGGGAGAGGGAGAGAGAGAGAGAGAG